GGAAGGACTGAGAGCTAATGACGTTGAGCCACGTGTCGCTCTGCATTATGGAATCCCGTCAGGTTCTCACGTGTTTGCTTATGATCCAATTCAGAAGATCCTCGCTGTTTCCACCAAGTAAGAGTTCTAAAAAAAAAGAAGCTTTTTTAAAACTGTTTGTTGTGTATTCATATCAATTCTTGGTTCTTGATTTTTGATTCTCAGGGATGGTAGAATCAAACTGTTTGGGAAAGATCAGACTCAGGCTTTACTAGTGTCTGAAGAAACATCCACAAGCAGGTTTCTTGAGGTGTTCACTTCATTATCTCTTTCTTCTCTCTTTATCTTCTTTCTGTGTTACAATTACATAGCCGTGACAACAATATTTTCCTCCATTTTCCAGTTTGTTCAGAATCAAGGAATTCTTCTCAATGTGAATGCCAAGAACCAGATTGAGGTAAGAATTTTCTTGAATGAACTCGCGTAGTATAGTAGTAGCATCTGGTCTGAAAGATGAAGTTCCAATAGGTTTGGGACTTAGACAAGAAGCTTCTGTCTCATGTTCATCATTTCAAAGGCGAGATCACTTCTTTCCGGGTTATGCAACATACCCCTTACTTGTATGCTCAAATTCTCAATCTTCTTTTGGTACTAATGTTGCATAGTTTCTTGATTTTCTGATAATGAGTGCAAGTGTGATTTTGGATTGGCAGTTACGTTGGAGATTCTTCTGGTAATGTATCAGTGTTTAAGATCGAACAAGATTCTAATCAAGTTATACAAATGGAGTACACTATACCTTACTTAGCATCAAATGGTAATTTTAATCAAATACCAAAAAGAGCTTCTTCAGTTTACCTTTTACATGGATCGAATCACCTATCATGAAACGTCTTGTTGTTGCGCAGGCTCTCCCGTTGAAGCTTCTGAGGATACTTCAGTTGTGAGCATTCTACCACAGCCAACAGCTGAAAGCAAGAGGTAACAAATCAACAAATCTTTTGTGGTGATCATAAGCCCATGAGTCATTTACACTTTTGCTCCATTGCAGGATTCTACTTGTATTTAGTAGCGGGTTTATAGCGTTATGGGACATCAAAGAAAGCAAACCGATTCTGAAAACAGGAGTACACGGGATGGTAAAGCAGGACGCGAAGAAAGCGACTTGTGCTTGTTGGGTTTGTCCTTCAGGAAGCAGAATTTCAGTTGGCTATAGCAATGGTGATATTTTAATATGGAGCATTCCTTCCAAAGGGGAAAGCTCGCCAGAGAGTTCTGCTATGATTTGCAAGCTAAACCTCGGATACAAATCCGAGAAGATACCAATAGCTTCTCTGAAATGGGTTTATGCTGAAGGGAAAGCAAGCCGGGTTTATGTCATTGGATCGTTCTCAAACTCGTTGCAGGTGGTTTTATTGAATGAGCAAACCGAAACTCGGATGATTAAGCTGGGGCTTCATGTATCTGAGCCTTGTGCTGATATGGAGATGATCATAGCTGATGTTAATGAACAAAGCAAGCATAAACAAGATTATCTGTTTGTTCTTGGAAAGTCTGGACGTGTGTATGCTTATGATGATTATATGATCGAGAAGTATCTGATTCAATCTCTATCCAAATCATCCCCTTCTCTCCCAAAGGAAACTGTGGTTAAGCTGCCATTTTCAGATTCAAGCAGCATCACAGTAGGAAAATTCCTCACAAATCCTTCTCACTTACTTAATCTATCAGATGAGGTAAATCTAAATTTTCATTGATGCATTAAGTTTAGAATGAAATGAACAGTCTTGTGATTCTCTTATGCTGCAGGATTATGCTCAGCTGGCGAAAGATGCTGTGCCGTTTCTTCCTTTTCAGGCAGTTCCAAAGGAAGGTTCCCGTTCTGCACATTTTCCTGGTTTCACAAAGGTTAAGAATGTTTACATCACTGGACACAGTGATGGAACCATTGGTGTATGGGACATGACCTGTCCTTTTCTTATTCCTGTCTTGTTTCTGAAAGAACAGGTAATAGTTCCCGGACTCTTTTGTGTTTTTTCGCAAACGCAGATCTTTTGAAAAGTCTTTTGCATTCGTTGTGTGTTCATTTGCAGACCGATCAAGATATATCTTCACGCGGGAATGCGGCATTGACAGCTTTGCATTATGACAGCAACTCAAGACTTCTTGTTTCTGGTGATCATAACGGAATGGTAAAAGGCATTTTACTCAAAATATTCTATGGAATGTCACTAAGATAGTGGCTTATTATCGATTTTAAACTTGTGCAGGTTCGCCTTTATAGGTTCAAACCTGAGCCATACCTAACAGAAAACAGTTTTATTCCTTTCCAAGGTATGTTAGAACATATAGGAGTCGGCTTTACTATCTTAAAGACAATATGTGTCTTCATAAGTTGATATTCTTTGGTTTTTCAGGAAGTTCAAAGAAAGGGAATAACCATATTGTTCAAAGTGTTAAGTACGTAAAGCTTACTGGTTCCATAACCTGTATTCAGAAAAGCCAAAACTCGAAACATCTCGCTATTGGATCAGATCAAGGACATGTAAGCTTGTTCTTCTTCCTTCTAGGATTCTTTAGTTGAAGTGATTGCTGTGTTAATACCGGTTTACTTACAGGTTTCTCTGGTTGACATTGAGGAAGCAAATGTGATATACACAAAACAAATTGGAAGTGTTATATGTCCAGGGATCATCTCTGTGCAATTTGATTGTTGCAGTGTGCAAGGCTTCGAGAAGAACGTGTTAGTGGTCGCTATGAGAGACTCATCAATTTTTGCTCTGGACAGCGACACGGGAAATATGATTGGAACCAACATGATTAAGCCAAAAAAGCCATTCAAGGTTCTATATATGCAGATCCTAGGTAGGTCCACCTCTCCCTTTTATAAGTTTAAATCAACAATCAAGATGTCATTGATTTTTCTCATCTTTATTTGCAGATGGAAAACAAGATACTTCAGGAAATGGATTTGATACGAGCAGAGAGAGCACAGTTGAGGAGATTTCGATAAGGCAGCCTTCGGTTTTGGTTTGCTCGGAGAAAGCTATATATATCTACTCCCTGGCTCACGTTGTCCAAGGAATGAAGAAGGTCCTTCACAAGAAAAAGTTCAGTTCTTCACCAATTTGCTCAGCTTCCACTTTCTATGGAACCTCTGGTGTTGGTCTTACACTTGTTTTCACAGATGGAACTGTTGAGATAAGGTGAAATTACATCTGCCTTTTCTTCTTTCTTCATATTAGCAAAAACGCTCTCTAAATGCTGTGACTTGCCTCAGGTCTTTGCCAGAACTCTCCCTGCTAAAACAAACTTCCATTAGAGGCTTCACATATTCTTCACCTAAACCAAACTCTTTACCAGAGATTACCATATCTGCTTCTTGGGATGGAGATCTAGTCATGGTAACTTTCACAACAGACACTCTGCAAGTAGTCAGTTTTAGAGCTGGATTTTGGTATATGATCATCATCTTCTTTTCTTTGCAGGTGAATGGAGATGATGAACTTATTGTCAGCTCAGTTTTACCTCAAAAAGACACATTTAGGTAAGACTTGAATGATCCTTTGATTAGCACATAGATGAAAAGTCCAAAACTGACTCTTTTATTCCAGGCTTGCCGAGTCCATGAGCCGAGTTTACAAGAAAGATAACGCGGTTTGTCACGAAGGAATCATCACTTCATCATCTCCGAGGGAGAAGAAGGTTAAACATTGAATTTGTTACACACAAACAGAAGTATAAGTACTAATTCATCTTATCTTGTTTGATGCAGAGTATGTTTGGTTCTGTTTTCAAGACTAAATCGAAGCGCGCAACTGATACAGAACCAGAAAGTTCCAAGGAAACCGTCGAGGAGCTGTCTAAAATCTTTGCAACAGCTAATTTCCCATGGAACAACAATGTTGAGAGTAGTAGAGAGATCAATACAGTTACTAGAGTGGAAGATGAAGAAGAGCTGGACATAGGTATGGTCCACTTTTGATGTCCTTCCGTGATGCAATATTTGAGTTTGGCGTATGTCTCTGATCTTTTTCTTTTTGACGTTTTGAAGATGACATTGACATCGACGATCATCATCATAGTCAACAACAAGAGAAGCCTAAAGAACAAGGGATATTGTCAGGGCTTAGTAAACAGAAAATGGCGAATAGGTTTAGCAATTTCAAAGGTAAGCTGAAACAGATGGCAGCCAAGAATGAGAAGAGTGTTGTAATTAATGACGAAAAGCATGAGGAGAAAAATGGCACCACAGTCGATCAGATCAAGAAGAAATACGGGTTTACCTCGTCCGAGGTAAGCTTCGATAAGCCTTATACAAGTTTGTAGTTCTGGCTCTCGTTGATTTCATCTTCATTGGTGTCTGCAGGAAATGGGAGCTGCCAAAATGGCTCAGAGCAAACTTCAAGATAACCTGAAAAAGTTACAGGTACTTTTCATGGCTTTTCAGATTTAACCGAATCTTTGATTGATTCATCTCTGTACTCCAAATTCTGTCTGAATGTATCTCTGCAGGGAATTAGCTTGAGGACGACGGAAATGGAAGATACTGCAAAGTCTTTCTCCTCTACGGCAAAGGAACTACTAAGTGCGGTTGAGTTCAATAAACAGAGCTCAAAACCTTAGCAGTCTTTTCTCTTGCTCGATCAATTGTTTATTTAAACTACATCTTAAAGAACTCGGGATGTCAAAATTAGCTTTCATTTTGTTTCTCCTTGTTGCTAAACAATACTGTAAATACTTTCTTCATAGTTGTACAAGTGTGAGAGTTTTGAACATTAGACAATGAATAGTTGCATTATAACAGAGCAGTGATCTTAACGAGTGATTCAATTTCAGCAAAGATGATAACAACATTGAATGCTTCAGGTAGGAACAAGATCCCACAATATGACAAAGGACAACCACAACATCTCAGACAAAAATAACATAAGACCAAAACCAATATTATCCATCAGAGAATTATTTCCTTTTCACAAGTGTGTTTGACTTTTCACCAGTGATAGATAGAGAGCAGAATAAACTTGCAAACACATGATATCATCTCATAAAATGTAGAATTGAAGCTCAAAGCGAAATCCAAAGTTATCATAAGAAGAAGTAGAAGTTACATCTGAATAATCTCACAGTATACAGAAAGGAGAAAATAGGAACGTAACAATTATTCTCCCTAAAAACTAGCTAAAAACACATAACACAACAGAAATACTCGATACACAAATCACTGATCCAACTTCCTAATCATCAGCTTTCTCCTGTAAAAAAAAACCAAAAACGGTTCAAGTGTTACAACAACAAGAGAGCCAAAAACAATGCGAGATTTACTAAAAAAATTAAGCCAAAACCTCTTGTTTCTCATCATCTCCAGCTGTCTTGGTTCCATTAGCCTGACAAAAAACATACATATATTTGTCAACACAAGAAAAAGCCAAAAAAAAAAAAAAAAGGAGAAGGAATAATTTGGTTATGGTTTACCAGTTCCATGTTATACTGTTGCATAGTCGCAGCATACTCAGTCTTTTTGCTCTTTGCTTTTGCTACAAAAGGTGCTTTATCCTGTTTCATTGGATAGATATTTTGGTATTATTAACTTAGGAAATTGAGTACAGACAGATTCTAAAATTTGAACCAAAACCAAAAACACTTACTTCTTCAGTCATCGATTTCCATTTCTTTCCAGCAGCTTTACCAACCTAATTTGCAAAACAACAAACTAAGATAATTCATATCCCAAAAAATTGCATTTGTAAAATCTCAGATAAGTAGCAGTAACTTACACTAGCGACGGATTTGTTGTCAGGGTTAGCTAGATTAAACTCCCTTCGGAAATCGTCCCTTCAAAATCACCCGAGAGAGATAATTATTATACTAATCTTAAAACAGTAAATCAAATTAGTAAAAAAAAGAGAGAGAGATTTACAGGAAGACGAAGAAAGGACTTGGAGGTTTCTTAGGCTTGTTTGGATCCTTTGTTTTCTTTCCACCTTTATTACCTCGAACTTTCAATCTGATAATCATAGAAGACGATTTGAAAAACAAATTGAATCTAAGGTTCGAGATTTCGGATTAAGATAAAGATACCTATCATCAGTGCTCCTAGATTCAACTTCCGTTTGGTTATCTTTCATCTCGAGATCTGTCACAGAGGGAAAAAAAAGTTAGGAAAACGAATGACTCGGAGTTGACTCAGATGAGGCGGCGAGTTCGAGCGAGCTTACCTCTGAGAAAGTTTTAGGGTTTTTGAATTTTGAGGAGAGACGACGACTGAGATATTTTTTTGATGCGGTGTTAATTTAAATAAAATTTCAGATTTCCCAAAAGATTTAATTTTTAAAATAATGGAAAATATTCCGTGATGTGGCGGGATTTGTCAAGTGGATAATTAAGATGTTGGTACTTTTAATCTTGACCGTCCGTGTATATTCATCGACAGTGTCCAGATTTAACTCTTTTTAAGTCTTAAGTTTGTAAACCAGTCTTAACTAGTACTCTAACAAACATTTTTCCTACACAAGTTTTTAAGTTACAACAACACACAAACATGCTAACATTACATTAATCCCTATAGTAGTTTACACATTAAACGACTCTTGATTTTCAACATCTCTGTCTCATGATGTGTCATGAACTCACCAGTGTCATCCATATACTCACCCCTACCACCACCATCACTGCCACCATTACCGTTGCAACCACCTTCCATTGCTTCCCTCTTCTTCTCTTCCTGCTCTGCACCTGTACCTGTAACCACAACAACTTTCTCTTTAGACAAAGATACTACTCAGTTTCTTTTATCATTACTAGCTCTCACATGCTCTACTGTTTCCTTTCTCCTTTTTCTAATTCTATATTTAGTAGAGCTTACTACTATACTCTTTCTTCATTCATGTCTCACACATTCTTACCTCGTTGTCTGCAATTCTCTCTGCTTTTACTTGGCCTATTGTTCCCCGCGCCCTGAGCTTTATTTGAGGTTTTACCAAAGCATCACTCTTCTCTGCTGCAACTTCTTTGGTCTGCACATCCCAACATTCACGACAAATTAAAAAAGATGTATCATTTATGTTATTGATGTCTAAGAAACATTACTACTCTCGTACCTCGGGAATAACAGTGTGTCCTTCATTCACCTCCTCCTGCTGATTTACTTCAGATTGATTTTTTTCATCAGGCGGCTTAGAGCTAGACTGCAACTGCAGACGGATTCTCCTTGGCGCAATGCCCTGGTTTATCAATCCTGTACTCTGCCGGTTCTGAGGCTGTCGAGCCCGGATCTTTATCCCCCTCCCTTCTGTGAGGTTGTTCTCGGTGTTATGATTGAGCATCTGCTCTGGATGAACCAAATCACTATAGTCCCTTGGCCATCCAGAAGCTCCGCCATTTGAATCATACTGATCAAATAAAAGATGAAAATTATCATTTTACTTATGTCATGATAGATAATGTCAAGAGAGATTGTAAAGATAACTGATCCAGAGGTTTCTACTCTACTTAAGAGAAAAAATTGGAAAACTTCTAAACTTAAGTGATGTCTCAAAATATGTTTCTTTGTGCTCACCTGCAATTGCGCCATCTCGGCATCTGTATCAGTGTAAGCCATAAAGTCGTTGAAGAAAACATCCTCTGGTGCTGGAGATTGCAGTATTTTAGAAGATGAAAAGATCCCATTTGGTGCAACTGTGTTCTCTCGACTGACTGATTCCTCGCAAGAGAAGTCATCAGGGTTATTGAACACCTCCTCCAACAATTCTGTAAGTGATACATCTGGTTCGCTGGTACCATCTTGAAATTGGAATCCAATCTCATCATAACTGAAATCACCAGCATATGTATAATCCATACGCGGTAGTGGTGCCCTTTGATCTTCAAGGTCACAAGGTAACCATAGATTTTCTTCAGGTGCCTATGAACACAAACTCAAAATTGGTCAAATCGCTCAAAAAAAGCCTACTTAATTAATTATTCAAGAGTTTCATTCATACCTCAATCATTGCCCCATCTGCAGCATTACTTTGAGCATAGCCGCATCCACCTGAATAATCTGAGGGTTTCTCCACTGCAGCATCAGAGGAAGGTGTTTCTTGGACAAGATCAGATGATGTGTCATCAGGTGAGTATTTGTTGCAGGTCGTAGGAGCTGCTTCATCGGACTTGACACCATTAACACGATCATCAAGCTTGTGGAAGAGGCGACAAAGAACGTAAGGGCTTTGGCCAGGGGAAGTACCATCAAGGTCCTTAAGAGTAGGACGATACTCGTGCATAATCCAATTGGTACGCTCACCTTTAGGAGCTCGTCCACGGTAAAAGACAAGAGTCTTCTTCATACCGATTAAAGTCTTCTTAGACTTGATGCTACGATCTTTACCAGTAGCTTTCCAATAACCAGAGTCAGTTGCTCTGTTAGAACGATGACCGTTGGGGTATTTCCGATCACGAGGGCAGAAAAAGAACCACTCTGGATCATCCGTCTTAATCACCGAGAGAGCTGCCGACCATCAGATTTGTTTCAATTGAATCAAAAAGAAGAAAAGAAAAGGTGGAATCTTTGAATGGGAAATCAGAATCTGAGAACAAAAAGGAATAAAATTTTGAGAGAAAAAGAGACGAACCAGGAAGATCCCAAGGTTCCCATTTGCAGACATCGATGTCAGGGATGACACGGACATCGGAGTGACGTCCGTTAATCTTGAGACGGAGGTAGTGATTGACGAGCTCTTCATCGGTAGGTCTGAATCTGAAACCTAGAGGAAGCGACTCCATCGATACAGCACCCATAATCAATCCTCTTCTTTAGGGTTTCTTTCCGACTTTGAATACACTCTCTCTACTTTTTTCTACTTTCTAAAAAGTCTTCTACTCTTTGCTTTCTCTCATCTTCTTTTTTTTTTCCCTCTTTTTTTTTTTTAACCTCTCTTTAGACCACGTGAGAAAGATAACTTCCACTAAAAAGACCACGGTTGATCCACTTCCACTTTACTCACCATTATATTGTTAACTATTTCAGAGAATCAACCGTTACTCTCAACGGCGACGCTCAATATTTACCTTCAACGGTGACGCCTTCAATCCTTGCCGTCACAACATGGGTTCGCCGCAACGTAGATCAAAGATTCTTAAAGCAATTTGATTTCTTAAGTTTGTGAAATTGCAAATATGCATCTGATTGATGGGTATTAAGCCGAGAGATTAAATCAAATAATTTTAACTAATTGAGTTTACAAAAATTTCACATGTGGATCTAATTTTTCTAATTCACCAAAAATTCCAAAAGAAAGTTGGATTCCACAAATAGAAAACAAGATTTGACCAAAATAATATAAATGGGATTCATAGGAGAATAGTAAACATAGAAGAGAAGATACGATATGTTTTGAACTATTTGTTTGGTATGTACTATTGGTAATTATTGGTAATTACTAAGGTTGAATGTACTACTTTCTATGAGTTTGGAATGTACTTTTTTGTTTTGAACTCTGATTTGTGTTCATAGTCGATTTAAACTTTAACTTGGTCTATTGGGTTCTATCTATGTAGTAGTCTTTAGGGTTTAACATTTTGTTTTCGTCGTGCATTTAACTTGACAATTTAGATTTTCTATTTTGTATTTCTAAAGATATAACATTCATTTTTCGACATGAGTTTAACTTGATAATTTAGATTTACCATTTTCTTTTATTTCGTTGATAAGTTTTTCATATTAAGAATGTTTTGTTCTATACCATTTCATTTTACTATATGTCATATGTGTTCTATTTATTTATTTATTTATTTTTTTTTTTGTAAACTGTGTTCTATTTATTATACATAAAAATTGTACTTTTAACCAATTTTTTTATTTTTTTATATGTTTATGTCTGTTTTGAAAAATTTAAATCATAATACATGTAAAAAAAAGTTCTAATTTTTTATAAAAGAATCATAAACTTGAATCAACTTTTTTAAACAAAAAAATTTGAGTGAGAATTGAAAAAGGGTAAAAAAAAAAAAAAGAGAAGGAGAGCTTCTCTCTCTTCTCACCCAGCCTTGAACCACCAATGATGGAGCTCTTCCTTCCACCTCAGCTGAATTTCTCCTTTTTCGGCAATACTAGTTTAGTCTTTTTTTTTCCTTCCTTCTTTATGTTACTTTCTTAATTTTTTCAAACATGATGCTATATTCTTAATTAAACATTAGATTTTGGTTATACAGCTAATAACTTTATGAGGGCTACAACATTTTTTTTTTTTTGATAAAAAGTTATAACTTTTCTCCAACCGAATGGCCGGCGTTTTTAGTGTACTTGGAGGAATTTCAGAGTGACAAGGAAGAATTTTCATCCTTCTCTTTATCTTTAATTTCTCGTAATGCTAATGTAAAAGCGGATCATCTGGCACGAAAAATTCGTACAGAACCGCTTCATATCACATTTGTAAACAACATTCTCCAGAAATGGCTCTTTTGAACTCTAATTAATTTCGGATGACAAAAAAAAAAAAAAAATGATAGCTCAATTGACAGTCAGTTTCAAAGTGATACTAACCTCTTAACATTTTTATACAAAACACATGTATATAAACATATTAATCTTTTATTTGTGTCTGAATACAAAGCATTTATATACGATTCTATGAATCTAAACGGTCTACTTTTCTACTTGTACATAACTAAACAAACAAGAGGAACAAAAAATTAAAGCCTTTCGCATACAACATGTCTACAACCAAAAATTCCTTTTTTTTTGGGACAAAATCAACATCCCAACACTTCATCTTCTCTTCTCTTCTATTTGTCACTTACAGACGCGAAAGGTTCGAACCAGCGGGAAAATAAGACACGATGATCGGAGCTCTCGGAGATATGCTTTTTGGTTTCTTTGAGGACAGGACTTTCAAGTTACTCTCATCAGTTGAGCTAATCTGTGAGTCTGATTTTGGAGCAAAGCAATTAAAGAAGGACGCAAAGAGAGAACACATGATCATACGAGTTTTTAAAACGTGTGTGGAGTCTATATACGATGAATGATGTTTAAGATTTGATTTCAGGTAATTATGTGAACGTTATGTATTTATAAGACAAAAACCATCGTTGAAAATTCTTGGACACGTTTCTAGGAAATGACCTCCAAATCTTGCTGGCCAAGCTTTGCCCTTTTCTTAATTGTTTTATATTGACAACACTTGAGCACTTTTTTTGACTTTCTAGTTAAAATATGGGCCTAATCGGACCAACTATTGATATTATGGTCTATGTTAACATCATCTTCATATCCACTCATCCTTTTCCAAAATATTATGATTAAAATTAGGGGTCTTCATGTCACCATCCAAGTATCCAACAAAGTTTTCCAAAATTTAACTTATATGTACGAAATAAAACTTATATATCCAAGCAATAGAAAATATTTAGGTTCTATCTAAACTCCATTTTATACAAAATAATAATTGTTTTCGATTTGAGTTTTATTAGCAAGTTCTCACTCAGATCAAATCAAAACTAGTATAGTTTTATATAGAAAACTCCTTGTAAGTTAATGTTACTACCCAGAGTATTTTGACACACTGTACTGATTTTTGATTGAAACTTTGAAACATGTCCGGCTTAATTTAGCTTAAATTCAGTTTGGAAAAAAATCATAAATAGTCAATAGAAACGTTATAAATCTTACCATATCCTTTTTTAACGCAATTATTCAGTTTAGTTTTTGAATACCTGAAATGAATTGGCTTTTAACATTATTATTTTTTACCCTCTCTCCCACAAAGCAGAAAAACGTATTGACTGTTTCCAGTTTTAGTGCTGCTGGAGAACTCAAGCCCATGACTTTAAATATGAATACTTTCAGCCCATGACTTTAGATATGAACAAAGAAAACCCAAAAAGAGAAAATGAAATCATGGTCATATATCACAATTTGACCAAATTGGAAATTATACTGGAATGCTGAATATTTCTCTGATTCATTTACCAAATTCAACCTCTGAAGTATCATTCTAAAAAACTTCAATTACCAAATGGGCTCGGTTCGGTGCGACCCGCTTCCCACTGTTTATTTTACATAAATACACTCGCACGCTCCGCTTGCCTACACGTGCATTCCGGAATATTCTGCCTTCTGCGTAACCGAGGACAACAATATACGTAACTTATACCAGTGGCCTTTTTGGTAATTTTCAACGGTGGACCAAGGGTAAATTTTTTAACCTACTTTTCTTCAAGCCTTTTTCACTTAATGACGAACGTTTCAAGTACAGAAAGCCTTGGATTCTTCTGCAGATTTTTTACACTAAAAAGGAAAAAAAGAAAAATAATATTAAAATTTTTATGTTAAAATCCTCTGCTTTTGCGACTCTTGGTCTTCTTCGGACATGGCACATTCCTTGACCTCACTCGCCGTTTTCCAGAGCGTCACCCGTAAAGGTTAGTCAAAACACCGACTAGAATCTCGAATCGGGTCGGGTTGAGAAATGGTTTATTTATTTATTTCTATGGGTTAATTTGTTAATGCAGAGATGATGAGGAGTTTGCATGTGTATGGATCGGTGGAGATTGAGAGAGAGTTCTTGTTCAAGAGTAAAAGCTGTTATGTAGAGAAGAAAGCGAAGCCTCTGTTTCGTTCGGAAGATTCCCGGCGACCGGAGATCTCGGAAGGGTCGGTTTTTGGCACGTGGCGTTGTATCTTTGTCTTCCGGTTTACTCACTCGCTTCCTCGGTTTCCTACTCTTCTCTGTCTTTCAAGGTAACGCCAGTTTTGACTCATTTATTATTCGGAACGTTTTTATTTTAATTTGTTTGTGCGATTATATATTCACATAACAGATTGATTTTTTTTTTTCGAATTCTTGAATCGAATTGTAGATTAGAGGAAACATCGCATAACCATTTGACGACAATGGCAAAAAATAGCAATGGAATTATATAAAATGAATGAGCTACTCATCAATTATAACAGAGTTGGAGGCATTATTAGGATGTGATATATCGTTTGTATTATCACGTTAAACTTGTTCTTCTTGGTACTAGACTTGCCACATATAACAGCTCAAGATTTACATATTTTCTTCACCAATATTCACTTCCACAGATCCTTTATATTATTCTTGTGAATCAGTTTGATCTCCCGATTTACTTGCTAAGATTCCCTAATTGTAAACAAATAGGCTTTTAACAATAACACATTGTAGTCTTGCATAGATTTCGGTCATCGGTATCTCTTTGTTGTATCTCCGTAGTAAGTAAAAAATTTCAAAAATGATATAAAACACATTGTAGTGTTCTTGAGTGTGTGCATTTTTAGAAACCAAACATGTTTTTGCTCTTTTTATTGACAGAAACCCTAAGCTGGAGGACATCCCTAATTTAGCCAATGAGCTCAAGTTTATCTCCGAGTTAAATACGAAGAAACCATCAAAGATTTCTGAAGAAGAACAAATTTCTGAAGATGAACAGTGCAGTACAGACGAGTATTATAACTCTGATCTGCCTAAACCGCGAAAGCTCGTTTTGAAACAAGATCTTAACTGCCTTCCTGATTCAGAAACCGAACATTCGGAATCCGAAAACGAAAAAACTGAGCATTCGGAATCAGGTACATCTCTTTCTTGAAATTGTCAATAGACTTGCCTTCCAGATAATATATAACTCTAGGCCAGTTTTAAGCATTTGGTGATTAATTTCGGGTTATTGTAAAAACACAGATGCTAAGTCTGAGATTTTGGAGAGGAAGAAGATGAGGACAACATCCAGACATGTTGCTGAACTTTCCTTAGAAGATCTTTCAAAATATTTTGGTCTTACTATCGTGGAAGCTTCTCGGAATCTCAATGTCGGTCTCACTGTTTTGAAAAAGAAATGCAGAGAGTTTGGGATTCCCCGGTGGCCTCATAGGAAGATCAAATCTCTCGACAGTCTCATCCAAGATCTTCAGGTCTTCTCTCTCTCCCTTCATCAATCCTAATACATCAATTCACTGAACCAAGCATTGCTATGTTTTGTATTGCTTAGAGGGAAGCAGAGAAGCAGCAGGAAAAGAATGAAGCAGCAGCAATGGCGGTAGCTAAGAAACAGGAGAAACTGGAGACAGAGAAGAGAAATATAGTGATGAGACCATTCATGGAGATACAGACAGAAACCAAGAAATTCAGACAAGACAACTTCAAAAAAAGACACAGAGCTTCTAGAGCCAAGAAGAATCAAGAATCTCTTGTCACTTCCTCTTCCACTTAATGAATCTAGGTCCTTTAACAGTAACATCATATATATTAGTTAGTTAGGGGTTTCTGTGAAGTGTTTTGGTATTTAGAAATGTTAGTTACAAGCCTAACAGATGCTAAGCTACGTTTGTTTTTGGCATAACAAGTTCCGAGAAGAGAGGAACTCTTGTATCATATCTTTTTGTGGTCAGATATCGAAAAATTGAACCTTTTATTTTTTCTTAGTGCAATTAGGTAGCAATTAAGATCGAATTTCTTTAAAGATTGGTGAAAAATCAAACCCAAATATTGGTTTATGAACTGATCCAAATTAACCCATCCGTAGTCAAGACACACTTTCAAAAGTGTAATGACCAATTTTGTTTAAGGCTATTGGTTATGTGTGTTATTGAGTGGTCCCTTTTGTTAGCTCGTGCTTTGAAAATCAACGACGACTCTGTCCACACGACGAAGACCATCAATTAACGTGTACCGTACAAAGAAGTTCGAAACTTAAGAGACTACTAGTGTGTATGTGTGTGTGTGTTCCTACGTCAATAATTACATAAAAAGAAAAAATGTTTTTATTTAATTCTTCGCATTTGAATATAAGGATTGAAATTTCATTTTCCATGCAACTGGCATTTTGTACGTGGTCGAGTATCATTTTGAAGTCATTTTCAATGTTTTTGATCGAATTTTTTTTTATATAACGTGAAAATATTTAAAAGAAATAACAATAGTTTATTTTCTGATCTAAAACTGTATATTACTCGACTTTCTTATATATAAAATAATTGTGATCATTGAAAATTATGTTGTTTTGATAACAACTTACGAACATCTCTGACAAATTTAAGTGAAGAAAATAAATTCTCTTACTCATGTTGTTAGTCAGATTCATATAAAAAAAATATATTATAATTTTGCCATTGGAGAATTTTGATGTTTCTAATTTTGAAACAGCTCTATAGACTATAGTAGAAATCGAATGAGTTTCAGAATTGTGGAAATAAATGAGAAATTTCAATAAAGACACAAACGTCCAAGCTGTGTGACTCAGAGGCTGACTTTTAAGCATTTTGATGGCACAAGCAAAAGTCTTTTTACTTCCTTACGGTTTCACATTTCTACTATTTTTTGAATGATGTGGACAGGGATTTAAAAAAAATGTGAAATAAAATTACAAATATAATTCAAAGAATTTCCAAAGTAAATCTATATATAATAATATTTGAGAAGTGTTTTTGCTGACGTGTCGGACTCTCAGCTCTTGTTGAGTCATTGATTTTACGTAATTACTTAATTACCCTTAATGAAATCTAATTAATTTTGGATTAAATTGAATTTCGGAATTAACCAAGAAAAAATAATTTTGGAAACAATAAACATGATAATTAACCAAAAAAAAAAAAGGAACAACGAAGTACCAGTTAGGAAGCTCTAATTGAATTCATCGTGTTCTTCGTCGTGTGAATATAATTCTTCTAAACGAAGGCAAAACTTGAAATCCTAACATAAAGCATATATTCATAGCAATAACAGAGATCTAATAATTTAGTGATAGAATTTCACCTGTTGATCTGTCGAAGCAGAATAGTCAAGCTTCTCATAGTATCTTGCCCATGTTATGTCTTTAAGACGTCAATACTATCCTGCACCCTATAATTCTAACCAATGAAAAGAACAAATATTTATTACCTTGGATACAGAGTTGACGAAGAAACCTTGGATAAAAACTCGACGAAGAAACTTGTAAGTGTTAATGTATGATGAAGCTTCCATGAACGTGAATTCGTGATCATAATGAAGAAACGTGTGAATGGAGACGGTTGATGGTTTTTTTTTTTTTTTTTTTTTTTTTTTTCTTTTTTACCTTTTGTGTAAACAGATCTGTTTCATAATTTATCGGAAAAGGAATTATACCAAAAAAAAAAATCGGAAAAGGAAAATATTTATTATAATATTGATATATTTAAGATGATAATGTCAAATATCCGAAAATTATTAATCGGAGCATTAATATAAACATAAAAGAATACTATTCTAACCTTACTCAAATTAATAAGATTTAGATATCCGAAATTAATCGTAAACGGCTATTAATTGTTAAACTAATTAAAATAAAGATCAAACGTACCGGAATAGATGAAATTTTTGGTATGATCGTCGTGTTCGTCGTCGTTTCAATCTAAATATTTGGAAAAAAAAACGAACAAAAAAAATTATATGTAGATCAATGAAAGAGAACCCACCAATTTAGAAACGGTTATCACGCCATCGTATTGTTCGTCGGATGATTATAAGTCTCTAATCCGGAGATTGACTTGAACCCTGACAAAAACATATATTCATAGCATAAAATCGTAAATAGAAGGTAGAAGACCACCTATTAATCGGTTGTAACCTTGTGCAAACTCGATTTAATTTTGACGAATGAAATGTTGGTGTGGTGTCAAAACTTTCTTGGGGAGACTCGAAGATGAGAGAGCTGAAGTCAGAGATAGGCAGAGAGGTTTACATGTGAATTAAGGTATGGAGTGCTAACGTGAACATGAACGTGAACGGCGGTGATTTTTGCACATAATAGCAATTAGATCGAGTTTTGGAAAAAAATATGGATCAGCGTGACATGACGCATATGGATACCATGCATGTCTATCTATTGTAAATCAAAAATTATATTATTGTTCCGCCTTATTTTTGAAACAGAAAGGAATTTTCCCTTAAATTTTAATATATTTTATAAGATTGTATCACATATAGTAGTAAATCTAAAATAGTTGTTATTATTCCATATTTTTACCAAAAAAAGTAATATTATTTTAAATAAACATGGATAACAATGAATAAATGGCAGTTTTACAAATATTTATTATTATAATAGTGATTTGCTTATTAAAATATGTAAATTTTCTTTTCTTTTTTTGTATTTATCGTCGAAAAATTTAGAAACTCTAAATCATGCACCGCCTCCTATTCAATATAAATACCTTGCTCATGGTATTCAATTTCAGATCATAACTAACCCTTGTTTTTTTGTTCTTTTTTTCAAACTTTTTTTTGCTTCTACTTAATTTTAATTTTTCTTTTTATTGTAGGGTGGATGTATGGAGGGGACGATGTGAACTGGTGTATGGAAAATTTGGACCTAATTCAATGAATAAACAGGTGATCTTATAGTTTATATGTACAAATTTGATTTTTTTTTTTTTTTTGTATTTATGGTTTCACTATTTTCACCACTAATCAATTTTTATAATCAAAAAGTTTGGTTTCAACTTTTGAGAAGGTAATCATCGATGGTTTGGTATGTTTCTTTTTGTTGTAAAAAGATGAGGTACCTCCCGATTTTGTTGAGGTACATGTTCTTATTATTTTCAAATATGTCTTTTCTCAGAAGAAACACTCAACTTTTGATAACACAGTTGCCACAAAGTCAGAAAGATGACTTATTTCAGGGATGAATCTTCAGAGGAGGCTAATTTTTGTCGTTAATACAATTTAAGTATTCCTTTCTTTAGATTAGGGAGAACAAACTTGGCTGTTAAATTCAGGAATTACTCTTCGTTGCCAATCTCTCTCCCCAAACTAAAATATTACATAGACTTTGGTATGTATAGGATTCGTTTTCCATGCACTAAGATTTAATTATTGTTTAATTTATTGGTTTTTAGGTTTCTTTCCATGCTCTGATGCGTTTTCGGGTGTGCCAATGGAAGCTTGCATCACTCTTTACTCCAAGCGTAAGTATGCTCTGCATTAGCTTCTTCTGTTCCATTGGTTATTATGGGTTTTGACTTTTGAGAAATATACAACAATTTAAAACCAGGTTTTGTTGTTGATTGGTTCGGTTTGTATACCATATTTTGCTAAATACATATGACCATAAATAAGACCAAAGGAGCTGGGTTAGCTCCTTTGCCAGCTAGGTTGACTTCGTCTCCTCCCCGTCTTGCGGATTTCCGTTATTCAACGGGTATATTTGAGAAGTATACGGTACTAAAATCACAACCATTGAGCTTAGCTTGATCGGTTCTTCCCTAGGATTTATACATAAAAGTAAATTGTTTTGTTTAATAATTTTCCATTGCATGAACTTTCGAGACAACAAGTGGACAGAAGTGTAATGTCATCAAAAGTCAAATCAAACACTGTGAGGAACATAATAGACAACGTTGGCTTCTTTCGCAGCTGCTCAACGTTGTCTCTCCCGATGGTCCCAACACTCTCTTCTTCTTTTTTTGTCAACATTCAAACGTTGTTTAAAATAAATAAAAATGTTTAACCTTAATCATCTTTCTAGATCTTTAAATGCCTAAAACTTCAACTTAATCAGTCAGCAATCCGTCACGTTAATGATTTTGAAAGGAAGACTTTTGTTTTGTTTCAGTTAGTTTTGTTTGTTTAGTATTTTAATCACAAGATAACTCTAATTTCCCATTAGAGTTGTGTTAATTGTGTTGATTATGATTTGGCGTTCCAATTCTGATATTATTTTTATGTTGTAAATCTTAAACTGTTACGTTATTGTTCTATCTTCCTATGTGAGAAAAAAGTAAAATGTTTTAAAATTTTGACATGGATAATAATATAATTGTAAATCTATAATAATTATATTATCATTTTATTTATATTTTTCAAAAAGAAATATATTTATCTTAATAGATTTAATATGATAATGTCAAATATAGTTATAAATCTAAAAGAGTTATGTTATTATCCCATCCTTTTATGAGAAAAAAGCAGATATTCTCTTAAACTTTTAAATTAACGTGGATAATAATAAATAAATGATAATTTTACTAATATGATAATGATTCGGTTTTAATCTTACCAAAAAACAAATAATGATTCTGTTTTAAAAATATATAAATTTTCTTTGTTTAGTTGTAGATATTGTCATATAAAAAATTCTTAGATCCTCCACTGCCTTAATTTTATGTAAATACCTTGCTTGATATTTAATTTTGATTTGATATCATAACTAATCCTTGCTTTTTTTTTCGGCACTAACCATTGAATTTTTTATACTGCCATTTAATTCTTGCATAAAAAATAATAATTAATAGTAGTGTTTATTATGAATGCAGGTTTGTTTTCCATAAAAACTAGATTGGATTTATGGAAGCACGTCATTGTTTCCAGTGCGAGGAAACAAATGTCGTATCACTGCTGTTGTGGCTCTTTAGTACTTTCGTTTCTGTTTATGGCTTTGCTTCGGTTGTATGGTTAGTCATCAATCATTGATCTTCTCATTGTTTGAATATTGTTGCATAGGAAAAATCTTCCTTTTTTATGAATCTTTCAAAAGTTGGGTCCATGCTATTCTCAGTGATTGATTACGTTTATTGAATATTTGTGTGCTTCCTCTGCTGATATTCTAATTCATGCTTTATTCGTCGTCTTTGATACACTCTGATTAACCATTGTGCACCTCTAGAGTCTAATTTGCAATATTAATGCAAGTCTCTTTAACTTACGGATTATGAAGAGCATCCTAAGATCTTTTAATTTGATTCAGGCTTTATGTGGCTAATGTTTGGTCTTGGATGTGAATTAGTCTATCATGTTTCTTGGAAGGTAGGAAGCAATCTTGATGTTTACCAAAATCCAATGTGCTCTTTTGTAGCTCAGTTTTGAAATATGTACTAATTATTGTAGAGGGAACCCGAAACAAAGAGACCATATGTATGATTTTATATGTGAAGAGAAGCTCCGAATTTGAAATCGTCTCCACTCCGGTGATATGTGGCCATGGTGTGAAGGAGTCTGGAGCCATGGTTATTTCAGATTTGGACATAACCGTAATTGTTAAACTAATAAAAATAAGATCAAACGTACCGGATTGATGAGAATTTTTGGTGTTCTTCGTCATGTTCTTCGTCGTATGGATCTAACAAAACAAAAAAAATATATATACCCCAGAATTTTTTTTTGTTTGTTAATAGAGAGAACCCACCAATTTTGTAGCGTTGATTGTGACATCGAATTGTTTGTCGGATGAATATAAGTCTCTAATCCGGAGACTGAAGTTGAACCCTAACAAAAACATATATTCATAGCATAAAATTCATAAATAAAAGGTAGAGCATCACATAGCTTTTTCTTCAAAGCCAACACATCTCTCTTTGTAGCCGAATTACTCTCCAGTTTGGTATATACTCAAATTTTCCAATGACTTCCTTCTCGAACCTGGAGCGTTTTTGCTTTGCCGGATATTTTTAGGATATGGCTCTTATGTATCTCTTGTGAGTCACTTGATATGTTGTTTAGGTAAAACTTTTGGTTTGAAAGAGAATGATCTACGACAAGCATAATCGGTTATTTGTTATATATGTGGCCATGTTCATATTGCTTCCTCCACAAGCAATTTTCCAGTTTTGTAGCATTCGATATTTAAATTTAAAAGCTTCAATACGTTGTATACATGTGTATGTATGTACATATATGACTTATTCTCAGTTGCACATAGTGGTTTCTAAGGGATAGATACTTGCTCTCTGTAATCCTCTCATTTTTAGTACCTATCTTCAGTGTTTACTTTGCTAAGAGCTTCTTGATAGGCATACATCTTTGCAATCTCAGATCAATATACTACAAATACATATACGATACAGTTAAGAAAATGATATTTCTCTTACAACTTTTTATATGGGTTTTATAAACAAGAGATCAACTGAAGGGTTACGCAGCGACCAATGGCGAAGGTAGAGACAAAGATACTACAATAGGGACGATAAATATGACACGATATATACAAAAGAGATGCCTGTTTCTATACCATTGAAATTTTACGTACATAACTACTTCAAAGAGCAAGATGACTTACTTGATAGGTAAGAGATATGGTAAGAGATTATATTTTTCAATTATTTGTTTCCAACTACGAAAAACTCTAGTGACATACAATCTAAAAGCATGAATATGTCATAAAATCAAGAATACAACAAAAACCAGGAAGATGGGCCCAAATTAAAGTCTGAAACTGGACGTGGGGAACCCACAGACAGTGGCGGTCGGAGCGTTACAAATATGAAAGAAACGAGGAAGCGTGAATATGTCATAAAACCAAGAGTACTACAAAACCAAGAAGATGTGCTCAAAGAACGAAACTGGACGTGGGAACCCACAGACAGTGGCGGTCGTGGCATTACAAATATGAAAGAAACGAGTAAGCATGAATATGTCATAAAATCAAGAGTACGACAAAACAAAGAAGATGAGCCTAAAGACCGAAACTGGACGTGGGGAGCCCACGGACAGTGGCGGTCGGGGCGTTGCTAATATGAAAGAAACGAGTAAGCATGAATATGTCATAAAATCAAGAGTACGACAAAACAAAGAAGATGGGCCTAAAGACCGAGACTGGACGTGGGAACCCATGGACAGTGGCGGTCGGGGCGTTGCTAATATATTGTTGGTTTAAATATATAGATTTTTTATATTTAATTCTATTATATATATCAAGATATAAACACTAATAATTGTTTGTGATTCAAAAACACTATTAATTGTTGATTACTAATAATATATATCAAAAGTTATAGCGTTTTACCATAATTCTATATTAATGTCGTTATAAAAATTAGACTCTTGACAAAATTAATTCAATAAATATCCCTAACTTGATAACCCTAAATATTAATTATTAATTCTGGTCTTAATCAACATACAACCCCGCGCTGGGCGCGGAGACCTCCCCTAGTCTCAATTAATTTTTCAGATCACACGATCATATAGAGATAGAAAAAGGATTTGGCTATGATTTTTCTTTTTGATCCATCTTCTTGGCATTTTCGTATTTATTTTTAATTCGTGGCAAATCAGAAAGAAATGCATCAAAATTGACAAGTTAGACCAAAACCCTTCTTCGGTTCACGCTAACAACCCCCAAATTTCCTCCCTTTCTTGTTATCTAAAAAAATCAAAAATATTTTGCAACCCATCGTTGCCTCTTTCAATAATTCTAAACTCGAGCAATAAAAGCTCAAATAACTAACTGACTTGAGATCCATATCCACTAGCTCTTGTCTGAATTGGTAAAACAAGAAAGACAAGAACAAGAAGAAAAAGAAGAAGAAAGAGAAGGCTCATGAAATGGGTCTTTGTATTTCATTTTTCTCCTCTTCCTCTCCTTCCACAACAGGTCTCCATAGTCATGGTAATTAATCTCTAACATCCACAAATCCATGAAGTTCTTGTTTTTCTTTTTGGGTTTCTTGAATAAAACCTAAAAGATCTTCACTTTCTGATCTCTCTCTCTGTCTTTGTGAATGACAAGCAGCCACAACGAACAACCACAGCAATGGAACAGACTTCTCGTCGTCAACGACCACCACGGGCGCGACAACAAGCAGCAGCGTCGGACAACGGAGCCAATTCTCCGAAGTGGGGAGCGATATTTCCGGTAGGATTATAAGTGATTCCGGTAAACTACTGGAATCGCCAAATCTCAAAGTCTATAGCTTTCTGGATCTAAAAACGGCGACGAAGAATTTCAAACCGGATTCGATGTTGGGTCAAGGAGGATTCGGGAAAGTATACAGAGGTTGGGTCGATGCCACGACTCTTGCTCCTTCCAGAGTCGGTTCTGGTATGATCGTAGCCATCAAGAGATTGAATTCAGAGAGTGTTCAAGGATTTGCAGAGTGGCGTGTAAGATCTATATCTCTAATTTCCAATACTATTTTTGTGATTTTGATTTCTTCTCTGTTGGAAAACAAACAAACAAACCTAGCCCAATTATCACGTAATTCGATCAAGATGAAAGAAGAATTGACTATTCCAATCAAGAAACGACTTCTGCAGAATAACTAAATAATATAAATATATTTTTAAAAATAAATAAATGATGTTTTGTCCTATGATAATATTTTTTACCAATCAAATTATAATTGTTTGAAATCGATGACCTGGTTTTTTCCAATTGAAGATAATTTTCCATTCGATGTAGCTAGGAACTTTCCGTTGTTACCGGACTTTGAGTTGGGGACACGTTGGTCGATGGTATTAGTCAAAAGTATTATTTATTACTATGTAGTATTATAATTTAAAATTAGTAAAAGGTTATTAGAAAGTCAACATTATTTCTCTGTTAACTCGTATTGGATGGAAATCTGGATTCTTTCATTGAGTTTATTGTATGTCTTAATTAGCAGAACAAATTTATCTTGAAGTTATATAGGCTAAATTTGAGATTTGTGGCTATGTTTGTTTTTTGGACAGTCAGAAGTTAACTTCTTGGGAATGCTTTCACACCAAAATCTGGTGAAGTTATTGGGATACTGTCGTGAAGACAAAGAGCTTCTCCTTGTCTATGAGTTCATGCCCAAAGGAAGTCTTGAGAGTCATCTTTTTAGACGTAATTAAGATCTCTTTAACCCACAAGTTCATCATTATAACAAAAGTCTTGATCAGAAATATAACTCTATTGTGTACTTGGCATGATTTATAATTCAGGAAACGATCCTTTTCCTTGGGACTTAAGGATCAAGATTGTGATCGGTGCAGCTCGTGGGCTTGCGTTTCTACACAGCTTACAAAGAGAAGTCATCTATAGAGACTTCAAAGCTTCCAATATACTTCTTGATTCGGTTTGTCTAATTTAATCACTCGAGATAATTAGAAGATTAATCTTTGATCCTTCTATATTTGGCTGATGAGATTTGTTTGATACATATGGGTGTAGAACTATGAAGCAAAGCTTTCAGATTTCGGGCTAGCAAAGCTAGGACCAGCAGACGAGAAGTCACACGTTACGACTAGGATCATGGGCACATATGGTTATGCTGCTCCTGAATATATGGCAACAGGTACATACAGAAAAACATAAACCATAGTCTTTTATTTAAAAACGATATGGACATTTACCTCTATATCCTCATCGAAATTGGGGACCAAAACACGTTACATTAATCTGTTCTCCAATGCTGGTTTTCGAATTCGTCATCTTCAATATTCTCCTTTTTTTGAGTGACTAGATAGTATACTATTTGAACAGCTGACTTCGGATCAAATAATAAACAGTTCGTTTCTTGTTTCATCTGCAGGCCATTTATACGTTAAGAGTGACGTATTCGCCTTTGGTGTGGTTTTACTAGAAATAATGACCGGACAGACGGCGCACAACACAAAACGGCCCAGAGGGCAAGAGAGTCTTGTCGATTGGTTAAGACCAGAACTCTCAAGCAAACACAGAGTGAAACAAATAATGGACAAAGGAATCAAAGGTCAATACACAACACAAGTCGCGACCGAATTGGCACGCATTACATTTTCTTGTATCGAGCCAGACCCGAAAAACCGACCACACATGAAGGAAGTAGTCGACGTCCTCGAGCACATCCAACGGCTTAATGTTGTCCCTAACCGTTCTTCCACTAAACAGGCCGTTTCTAGCTCTTCACGTTCTTCGCCACATCACTATCACTATAGAGCTGGCGGAATTGGGGCTGAACGCAAGAGAGCAACGGCTGGACGGTTTGGAGTAGAAAAATAAATGGTTGCTTGATATTTGTTTTTCCGGCGGTATGAAATTGATTTTAGAGTCCCTTTTATTAAATTTTGTTTGAATGAAATCTTGAAGGGTTTTGTGTATAATACTGTTCCTTTTGTATGGTTTACTACGTACACGGTACACTTCTAGATAAATATTATCTTTCTATATTAAAAAAATGTTCATGGTTATAGAGCTGATACTGGTAACAAGTAGGAGAACATCGTACAAAGAGAATTGTGCTGGCTTTATCTAAAGATTATCGTGAATATGTGATTGATTTGAGAAGAATATACGCGCTAATGACAACTACTAATTTTTTTTTTAAAAATGACAACTACTAATTTCAGATTCAAATATGGAAAGCGGACAAAGTATTAACAACGTGAACTATATGCCCCCTTAGTAGGGACAAATGTTTTTTCTCTTTGGCATATTACATTCAATTTTCACATGAACCATTTTTATGCTATAGAAATTAGCAGTTGTTCAACGATTTCTGATTCATAATTATTTTCTTTCCATTTTCATTTGGAAGTTGTAAACATGTTTAAACGTAAATATTTATATAACAACGACATAACTAACAATTTTTATTTTTTTTTAAAATTTTATTTTGATTACACACACAGTTGCAGATGGAATTGTACAAAGAAATAAAATTAATATTAAATCCTTTTAAAAAACAAAATATATAGTTGCATATTTGCCAAACATTAATCCAAAGAATCAATATAATGTGTTAGATAAATATTAAATAGAATTAAAAAGGAAAAAAATTACTATAATAAAGTATGTTTACGTTAATTATTAATAAAGCTGTATGAAAATCTTTCACTTGGCTTTGTCCTCTTCCTCTTCATCTTTTGGAGGCGATTTATTAAGATCAAACTTGGCAATATATCCAGATTCAGTAGCTTCCTCTACTTCCTCCACAGGATCCACATTCAAGTCAATAGCTGCACCTTTCCCGCCTTCACATCCCCAAGCATCACCACCAGCACTGGCAGGACAACCACCGGAACTTCCTCCTCCTCCAGCAAGGCCACCAGAACTCCCTCCTCCAGCAGTGACAATAGCAAAAGCAGAGTTTCTTCCAGGAATCGAAAACCTTTCAGCAGCCGCAGAGAATGTAGGAGGGGGGAGAAATCCTTGATAGTTTCTATCTTTATGTGCCCTCATATGTCCAAACACAGCCTTCCAAGAACCGAAACCTCGTCCACAGATATGACAAACCGGTGGTCCTTTTGGTGGATGAGTCAATTCCGATGATTTCTTCTTCGGCTTTTTACCCGAACCATCCGCTTTATCATCGGTTTTCGTCGATGTCCTTGGTCTACTCTTTTTCTTCCCACCACTCCCACTGCCCTCATTCACTCCTTTCATAACCGCTTCCTCTGCCGCAGCCAAAACCAACCCCGCCGCAAGAACCGCTTGCTCATTCAAACGCGCTTTTTCTACATCTTCTTCAACGACAGCGACACTACTGCTATCAACAAATATTCTACTGCTGATACTCAAAGCAGGGAGGCCGAGAACGATTTCTCTCGTATCAGTTTCTTCATCGTTCCATTGCTCATCAGAATCTTCTCTCTCATCCTCCTCAACATCATCCACTTTCGTTTTCTCTGGGTTACTAGTCATGCTTTTTTTTGGCACTTTAGTAAGAGAATTGATGTTTCAGAACAACATTGAAATAGCCTTTATATAAAGTTTTCTCTGAGCCATGGCGGTTATGACAGTTAAACCCTCTCCCGCCTTTTCGAATGAAGATTTGCGTCCGTCGGATTTAATTAAAAAAAAATCCACGTGTGATTCGTTCGACTCTAAAACTCGGATATTACGTAAATCTGGGCTTAATATCGTATAAAGCCCATTACTAGCCCATAGCTTATTCGTACTTGGTAGGTTGCTTCAAGAGATTTTTCTGTTTTCTGTGTAATTTTTGCCGGTGTGTTTTTTGGTCATCGAGATTGCAAAAGCTCGTTGCACTGCACTAGTAATACTATTATGCATGTGACATCCGACAATGACGTGACTTGTAAACTTTTGTATAGACATATTTTTGTCTTTTATTCAGTATTACAATGATATTATCATTTATTGGTCATATTTATTACTATTATTCTATATGGTTTACTATTAAAAGTTAAACATTAATGTATACCGGTAACATTATATGTTTAGTTTTCAATGTCAGAACTCAGAAGGAAGCTCTTGAAGCTATGTAATAAATCACAAATACAACTTGTACAACAAAAAAAATCACAAATACAACAAATTGCAACAAAAGAAAAAAAAACTAATGAAACCATTGATGTGTGATATATTAGAATATGGGTTTCCAACCCAAAACCAATTGGCAATGAGTGCAGTGACCCATATCCCTTATATATTACTTAGGATCCCTTCCAACTTTCGATGTGGGACATTATGTCCTAATACGCCCCCTCGAGATGATGGCTCTTTGGCCATTAATCTCGGAATGTTCGGGCTTAGATCGACGGCATCAATTTTGGGCCTTGTCGATGATTGGACCATCTTTGGGTCGGATCGGGTTGGACATGTGTGGATCGGGCTCTGATACCATATTAGGGGGCGTATTAGGGATAATATTATCCCACATTGGAAAGGACAAGGGATCTTGACTAGTATATAAGATATATGGGTCTCTCCACTCATTGCCAATTGGTTTTGAGTTGGAAGCCCATATTCTAATATGGTATCAGAGCCCGATCCGTACATGTCCAAATCCAATCCACCATCGGCCCGACCCAATAGTTGGCCCGCCGATCCATGTCCGAGCATACCGAGATCAATGGCTAGAGCCATCATCTCGAGGGGGCATATTAGGGATAATATTATCCCACATTGGAAAGAACAAGGGGTCTTGACTAGTATATAAGATATATGAGTCTCTCCACTCATTGCCAATTGGTTTTGAGTTGGAAGCCCATATTCTAATATGATATACTCCCTCCGTTTTCGAATAGTTGTCGTTTTAGAGCTTTTTTTTTGTTTTAAATTAGTTGTCGTTTTAAGGTAATAATGTAATTTATGGCAATAACTACCCAAATTACCCTCATTTTATTAAACACAAATTATTTGTAAATAATTACTTGTCATTTTTATGAGGTTAATATAGTCATTGTATACCTTTTCTTAATTTGTCCAAATACAATTAAAATGACAACTTTTAAAAAACAGAGGGAGTATGATGTATGCAAAGCCGCAAATGTTTTAAATAATATCTTGACTCTAACCAAAACTTTTAACAGTTTTCTAAAAATATAGATTTAAAAGTGATCTAAAATTCAAATATGTAAGATACATCATACATATTGAATGACACAAATTAGAAACATAATCACCTTCTAATTGACCATTCTAATAGAGAAGGAAATTCAATTACAATAATTATGACCAGAACTCATCTAGCCTAAAAATTTTCTAATCTCTAAATTAAATATTAAAAAAACTTGACAAAAAACTAAAGAAATGGCAAGAACACTTAATACAGAGTCAGCATAATTCTCGGTAACAATAATTCTTAGGAAAGAGAGCAATTCTTAGCTCTCTGTAAAACACAGACTAAAATAAGCTAAGATTAAGATTAAATAATTAATATGTTGACTTTAAGATCGTAGAACCGCGCCTTAAGGAGGAGGCTCTGGCTAGTGGCAACGAGCCTTCTTTGTCTGAAAAAGGCAAAAACAAAAAAAAGGAATAATAAATTTGAAATGAGAAAGAGAGAGAGAGAGAGCCACCACATGCCCAAAAAGTTACCGTTGGTTTTAGACTAACTTAGAAGCAAATCGTTTCCTTCATGATCCAACGGTCATCTTAATCACCTAGCCGTTGGCTATTTCCTTCAATAAAAACAAAATAATAATAAAAAAGATAGCAACTTTAATTTTAATTTTGATTTAATTTATTTGTCTCGCTTATTTCATCCCCTTCTCTGACTCCTCCTGATTCATTCAATTGCATCAGACATATACACAGAGAGAAGAGAGAAGAGAGATCCTTCTTCTTCTTCTAGATTCTTCTCGAGGAACACTATCACCAAATCGAGTAAAATAACAATGGTTAATCCAGAGGAGAGAAATCGTAATCTCGTTGTCAAACCCATTACAGAGATTCTTCAAGGTAGTAGTAAAACGCGTTTGAGAATCTGAGAATTCTTGGTCTCAAGAACAGAGATTCTGATGTTGTTTTGTTTCTGGGTTTTGTCAGATGATGATACGAGAAGCAGAAAATTCGGATTAGAGGTGAAGAGACAGAACAGAAGAGCATTGAGTGTGATTAATCAGAATCTCGTTGGTGCAAAAGCTTACCCTTGCGTTGTTAACAAGAGAAGAGGCTTATCTGAGTAATTTACTTAAACTCTCTCGAATCCTAAAGTTCATCTCTTTTATCCTTGGTTTTGGGATCTTGATGATTATTTATTTGTTCAGTAGGAGAAAACAAGAAAGCTGTGAGAAGAAGAAGCTTGATTCATTACATCCGTCAGTTTCAAGGTTAATAAAGCTTTAAACTTTGAAAAAAGTTTCTTTGGTTTTGTTTTGCTGAGAAAGAGAGATCTGAGATTGTTATTTGAATTTCTGCAGATCTCAGGAAGAGACTAAGAAGCTGAAACCAAGTGGGAACGAGTTTGGTGATTGTATATTCATTGATGAAGAAGAGGAGAAGAATGAAGAAGCTACATTGGACCAACCTATGCCAATGTCATTGGAGAAACCATACAATGAATCCGATCCAATGGTAATTAACAATCACTTCTCAAAAGATCTTTAGCTTTTTAATGTGAATTCTAATGAAACTTTTTAATTTGGACAGGAGGAAGAAGTTGAGATGGAGGATATAGAAGAAGAAGAAGAAGAAGAACCAATTTTGGATATCGACGACTACGATGCAAACAACTCTCTTGCAGCTGTTGAATATGTCAGTGATCTTTACGAATTCTACCGTAAAACCGAGGTATGGTTTTCGTTGGTTTTTTAAATTGTCTCTGAACCAAAACCATTAGATTTTGAATTCTTCTGAGACAATTTTCCATGGATTTTGGTAATCTGCAGAGATTTAGCTGTGTTCCTCTGGATTATATGGCGCAACAGTTTGATATAACTGATAAAATGAGAGCAATACTTATCGATTGGCTCATAGAGGTAATTCAAAGACCTCTCAATGGTAATGGATTATTGTATATAGAGGCTAACTAAGAAGCTTCTTTGATGTTTCAGGTACATGACAAATTTGAGCTAATGAACGAGACATTGTTTCTAACAGTGAATCTGATAGATAGATTCCTGTCCAAGCAAGCTGTTGCAAGAAAGAAGCTTCAGCTTGTTGGTTTAGTTGCATTGCTCTTAGCTTGCAAGTACGAAGAGGTTTCAGTACCTATTGTTGAAGATTTGGTAGTCATTTCGGACAAAGCTTATATGAGGAACGAAGTTTTAGAAATGGTAATAACCATAGAATAAGATTCTTTGTTTCCAAAAACACGGTAAAAGATTATACATTTGATCTGATTTCAACAAACTTTGTGTGTAGGAGAAGATTATGCTTAGTACTTTGCAATTCAATATGTCGTTACCAACGCAATACCCTTTCTTGAAGAGGTTCCTCAAGGCAGCTCAATCAGACAAGAAGGTAAAGAAACAAATCTATCAATGTACATAATAATATAAATGGATTGTGAATTACAAACTAATCTTGTTATTGACACAGCTTGAGATCTTGGCGTCGTTCTTGATCGAGCTTGCTCTTGTGGACTACGAAATGGTTCGGTATCCACCATCGTTGCTAGCCGCCACTGCAGTGTACACAGCTCAATGTACAATCCATGGCTTCAGTGAATGGAACAGCACTTGTGAATTCCACAGTCACTACTCTGAAAATCAACTCATGTAAGTCTCTTTTATCCATTAGCACAAAAGGGTAATCTACAAAGACTAATCTTTGTAACGAACTGCATCCATAATCTTTTGTAGAGTGATCTTTTTTTCTTATTTTGCAGAGAATGTTGTAGAAGAATGGTGAGACTACATCAGAAGGCTGGGACTGATAAACTAACAGGAATACATAGAAAATACAGCTCCTCCAAATTCGGATACATAGCAACAAAGTATGAAGCTGCACACTTTCTTGTGTCAGATTCTCACTAAAGAGTGGAAAATAGTAGTTTGTGTATAGCTAGCTGCTAACATTTTCCCTCTCAATTTTTAATTACAAAAGAAAACAGCAAACAAAAATAAGTTCAAAAATATCCTCTGAATTTGATCTGTAACTTTCAAGTCTTCCTTTTATTGATATCTCAGCAATAAAATTCTCTAATATTTCTGATAACAATCATATTTTTGTCATTACTTAGTTACAGATTCTTAAAATATGATATAAGATTGAGAGTTTCAATTTGAACTCTTCTTCTTCTACAAAATCACACACATTAGAAATGAGTCTTAAACAAAACCGCAGACAAAACTAGTACCACCTAACACGACGAAACGCCGTCGTTTTCAATCTATTTTTTTATATCTCCCACCAACTCTTTTTCAGATCTTTGTCTAAGTAAAAGCGAAAAGGGCAACGAACAAAAATAAACTGCGACAATCTCACAACAATCATGGCGGCTTCGACGAACTCTTTCCTTGTCGGAAACAACACTCAGATTCCTGCTTTGAAACCCAAATCAACATCTCAATCCCTTCTTCACCTCAGCAAACCAAACACCGTGAACTTCGCCGGCAAAATCAAGCCCGTCGCTGTTAGATGCGTCGCTTCAACGACTCAAGTTCAAGATGGAGTTAGATCCGGCTCCGTCGGATCCCAAGAACGGGTTTTTAACTTCGCGGCGGGTCCAGCCACTTTGCCGGAGAACGTTCTCCTAAAAGCTCAGGCGGATCTATACAACTGGCGTGGATCTGGCATGAGTGTGATGGAGATGAGTCACAGAGGCAAAGAGTTTCTCTCAATTATACAAAAAGCTGAATCGGATCTTCGTCAGCTCCTGGAGATTCCTCAGGAATATTCCGTTTTGTTCTTACAAGGTGGTGCTACTACT